AATAAATTCCACTAAAAGTATGGCAATGAGTCTAGAGGCTGGGGACCACTGTGAATAGCCTGTGTGGGCTCACCTGTGTGGGCCTGCGTGGGGGAGGGGACACATGAGATATGAAACAAAATGTCAGCTCCCCGCAAAAGGTAATTCAGAGAAAAGATAAGAGGGAGCTCAGCAGGGCAAAAAGGAAGAGAGTGACCTTCTTTCTATTTCTAGGTGAGGGGAAGAGGGAGTAATACAAGATACAAATGATTTCTTTGATGATATCAACAAAATTTTATATTATTTCCCCACAAGGCATAGACCAATGCTAGGTACAGGTGCTTCATTCCAATACTACCAAACCATCTACAGATGTCAATTAAGGCTGAACCAATGTAGCTACAGAGAATATAATTATCTAGTAATTGAAGACCAGGAAATAACTAATCTAAATAACTGGACCCAAAAGGAATCTATTAACTCCCTGGGTACACTGATAAAGTAAGATAAATAATTGTTAAGCTCCTGTTCCTCTTCTTCCTCCTCCCCCTCTAATGCTCTATTGTTATATAAATAGTAGAAGAACCATTATAGAAACAATAAACTGCCCACAAAATTACAGTCAGATAGTTGCCAATTACATATCTCTGGCAAAACCTACAACTAACCAATTCAACAAAATATTGCCAACTAAAATAACTCTCCTGCAGGCAAATAATTATTCTGCATAATAAAAGGGTACTGGAGATAGTTGAATCATTTAAATTTTTAAGGGGCCTCCTGGTCTACATGAAAAAGGATTTGGGTGGATATTACAAAGCTGTCTCTGTGGCTGTGTGAACACGACTGAGTGACCTGTTGTACTTCATGAGGTCAAAACGCAGAGCTGCTCACTTTTCTGCCTTGTTAATGGGTAGCTCAAGGGAAAACAAGAAGATAGAGAGCATCTGATGGGACTGGGGAGGGGAGACACAAAAGCTGTATGCCTTATAGTAAATGTGACACATTAAATAGACTATTTAATCTCCACAGATCAAAGTCTAAGATCTAGACAAGGCGATGCAGGAAAAATGTTCTGAGTCCTCACAAAAGGAAAAGATAAGAAGCCACCCTACTTTATAGTTCTAGGCTGGGAAAGATCAAATCCCTACTTTTGAGAGAATGATCATATTAAAATGGAGAGCTCTTGAGCACTCAAAAGGGTTCTTCCACTCCCTCATGGGCTAATAACTCACCTCCTCCTCCAGAAAGCCTTCTCTGATTATTGGTCATTTAACACCTTCTGGGCACCTGGAGGTTCAAGGTGTATTCTACTCTACATTGCTTTGCAATTGTTCCTATGTGCTTAATCTCTCTACCTAGACTGTCAGCTTGTCAACAGCAAATAAATTTGATTGCATTGTACAATTGTTAGGCAGGAGCTCAGGAACACCAAGGTGGTGAAGGGAAGGTATAAGAAGAATGTCGCTGGAGGACAAAACAAAGAGACAAGTTAGGTCCCTGTTTCAGATAAGTCCCATTACCATGACAACTCCCACCACTGAGGACTTATCACCATGACAACTCCTGCCACAGGTTCAGAATTTTAAAATGACCAGTGAGGGTAAAGTGGGCAGTATTCAAATTAGGTTTTCTAAAGTAACCAATGTGGGGTATTTGGACAATATTCTAATTAGGTTTCATAAGGTAACCAATGGGGCAAGTGGGGTAAAGTCTTCAATCAGGTCTATATAGGGAAGAGGGCCTCACAACTCAGCAAGTAAGACACTAATTTCCAGACACTGGGGCACTGAACTGCTCTACTTACCAGAATGCTACTTTCACCTTCACCTTCAATAAATCTGTACTTCACCTGTCACCTCTGTGTGTCTGGCTCAGTCCTTTATTCAGGACACCAAGGACCTGGACTCCGACTGGACACCCTGATGATAACACAGTCATCCATTGCTGGCTACCCCAACCCCTGCCCTAAAAGTTCCCGGCAGGGAGCTCTGCCCACAGGACTGGACCATGCAGAAGTTGCGTTAGCAATCTCCCAAAGGGGTCAGTCTACCCTGAAGACCCATTTCACTTTCTTTATGTCACTGGACCATTTTAACACACATCACTTTCTCCCTTGATGTGGGCAATGAAATCAAGTTTACTCAAGCACATTACTGCACATCAATCTATCATATTAACCAAGTTCATTAGCCAAAAGCAAAGTAAGGCAACTATCCAGATAGCTCAGAAAAAGGAGAAACAAGTATCTGGGTTTATCTGAATTGCTTAGAGGATAAAACAGGGCTTATAATGGCGATTTCTGGTTTGGGGATCACTACATAAAAGTGTTAATGCACAAATGTAGATTTGCCATTTTCTTATAGAAAAATATTCAAGGAAAGTCACCTCATCTTCAACATGATATATTGTTTTTTTACTACAAAATGGCAGTTATCTTTTATAGAGTGCTATTCCACATTATCTGATTCCAAGTTTCACATGAGCCCCATGAAGCAGGGCACACAGAATTATTCCCATTGCATACATGAAGGAACTGAAGCTCAGAAAAGCAAATTGAAATGCCCACAGGAAACAACCAGCATGGTGCCAATGCCAAGAGGAAGCCTCCATCTGCAAGCTTTGAGCTCAGCACCCTTTCCACCACCCTCCTTTGCACTTTTTTCCTCCGTACAGCTACCGAACTTTAGGACTCCTGGAAGATTTCTGAAGCTGTGCTCTGTAAGTACCTAGAGGACAGGGACAACATGGATTTACCACATTTCACAGCACTTGGGTTCAGGGCAACTTTGCAGATTGGTCAATAAACTGTACGGTGTTGGTGTCAGAGCTCACGGTGTGGACAGAGTTAAGACTCTGCATTGTGGTGGACTCTTCTGACCCATCTCTCTCTTATCTCGATGCATTTCCTTTCTGAAACTTAATTCCTACAATCAGCAGACAGAAAATAACAATGACCAAATCCCAAAGCCAGCCAAATGGACACACAGCAGGGAAATGCTTGGGAACGACTTCTCAAAGGCAGGAGCAGATCCTCTAAAGAGGTAAGGCAGCAACCCTCTGCTCACAATGCTTTCCTTCATGGTCTACCGTCTGCCCTCACTATCTCGCTCTTCTCTGAACATAATGTGATTTTGAGCAAAGAGCAGGCTTAGAGGAGAGAACAACATGGTCTTATATGCTTTGTCCTTCATAAACCAAAACAAGGCACTGCATAAAAATGTGCCCTTGGAGTGGTTTTTGTCAATGTAAGTATAACTCCCTTTACCTAATACTCTTATTACAAAAAAAGAAAAAGTCAATAAAACATTTGACTGAGAAATATTAAAATAAAATATTCAAATATCCTTAATGTTAACACTTCAGAGCTACCTTACCATACCTTACCATTATTCTGATTTTCATTTAGCAATGGAATTCCCCCATCTAACTCCAAACCTGACAAATAATTCATTAATAAAAAATAAAAGTGAATAAACTAAGCAACCTTTTAATGAAATCTGTCTCAAATCCTTCCTACACTTTATTTTTAGCATGGATAATTGTTCTCAACCTTTTTTACAGTAGGGTATCCTTGAAGTGGATAGCATGGGGCCAGAAGGTCTGGTAGGTTGAGAGACACAGTTCTCTGKGTGGGTGTGGCCTTGACACTGTTCCAGGTTTCCATATAGAGCTTTGAATCCTGTCCTTGCCACCATTAGCATAAGGCACTAACTAAATTAACCAGCTTCTCACTGTTATATGATTCTAAAAGATTTGCTCCCCGGTAGATCTCTGTATATCACAAGGATAGATTTTAATTTAAGATGGTAAAGATTACGTGTAACAGATAAACCTTTCAATGAAACACTACCTAGGCTCATTCAATCTCTAGGACTAGAATCCCATTCAATCTCTAGGACTAGCTCCTTCTCTTAAAAATGAATATTCCACGTATATGATCATCTAAAGCCAAGAAGGAAAAACAAACTTGGCCAATTAACTAAGCAGATTTCCACTCTTGCTCCTATCATGTGAATGCCCAAATAAACTTTAAAATAAACAAGGCTTCAGGTGTAGGTTAAGGGAAGTGACAAGTCCAAGGTTACAAAGTYATTGACAGGGCATCCATGACCGCCTAAGAAATACTGCAGTAACAGACTGCTGTTTGCATTTGCTGGTTAGGGCAGGATGTAGCGACTGACTCAAGTGGAGGAGCTAGGAGAGGAGTTCTCATCCAAAACGACACTAAAAGAGGTAGCAGATACTACTCAAGACAGATCCAAACTATCTTAAATCGGGTGACACCAATTGGGTTAAAGGGAAGAGTTGAGTTTTAGAATCATCACTTGACCCAAAGCCTGGTCAGGATCTAGACCTGCCTGCCAATCACCAAAATGAAGTGGTGTAAAACGAAGTTTCCGTACGTGCTTAAAGGAAAAACGCCATCAAGGGAACTGCTGATACTGAAGCTCTGCCACACACATCGTGCTACTGCAGCTTCTCAGAGAGATCCTAACAGCAACCCAGTGGGGCATCAGCTGCACCGAAGCGGGATGCATTYCTGGAGCCCGGTTCTCAGCTCTCCTCCACCCCACCCGCACCGCATCCCAACCCATCGTCCACCCGAAAGTCCTGACTCGCTCTGCGGCACTTTTCCAGGTGCCCGGTCCCGGATCCGAGGGGCTGGGGGGCGAGGCCCGAAGGAGCGAGAGTCGGAGGTGCAGGGAGCGGACGGCGGGTCACGGCAGGGAACCCTCGCCCCGAAGGGTGTGAGCCCTGACCCCCTGCCAGGGACCCCCGCCACCGTCCTCCCTCCCGCGCGCCCTCCGCGGCTCGCCCGCAGGCTCGCGCGGTCCAGGCGTGTCCGCCCCCGCGCCGGGCTTTGGTGTTTCCAGAAACCGGCGATCTGCCCGGGTCCCGAAAATGGGGACGGGTCGAGGGGCCGTGCACCCCCACCCCGGGTCTCCGCTCCGCTCCTTCCCGCCGCCTCGCCCCGGCCTCGCCCTCAGGACCCCGCCGCGCCCAGCCGCCGCGCTCACCTCGGCCCGCGCCCGAGCTGGTAGCGGTGGAGTTCCCGCAGCCCATCGCGCCGCTGGCCCGGGAAGCCGCGCTCAGGAGCTGGCGGCCGCGGGTCCTGGGGGCGGAGACCAGACGGAGGGTGGCGCGCCCCGAGCTGGAAGCCGGCAAGCGGGCGGGAGGGGGGGACGCGCGGGGGACGCKCGGGGGACGCCCCTCCTGTCGCCGGGGGGCGAGGGAGGGCGGGACGGAAATCGCCGGGCACCCCCGCCCCACCCCGCCCCGCCGGGGGACCCCCGCCGGACCCACCCGTCACCCCGGCAACCGCGGCTCCGGCCAATCCGCAGCCTCCTGCGCGCTCCTCGGCCGCTCATTGGTGGTTGTTAAGAGGGGGCGGGAGTTTAAAGTGGGTTCGGGGGCAGAGGGCGTGGCCGGCGCGGGCGGGGCGGCGAGGCGGGGGGTGCCCACCTGCACACCCTCCACTTCCTCTTTGCCTGCTGTTTTATTTCCTCACTTCCCCTCCCTGCCCCAGGATGTGGGGGGCAGAGGAAGTTGCGGGGAGCACCTGTGTTGAGCCTCGTGGATGCCCAGTGGAGGTGATTGACTCAATGATGTTCAGAACTGAAGCCCCAAACAAGACTCTCTCCTGCTTTAACACAAAGCTAATGCAGCTCTATTCCCCCATCCATCGTTGCCAAGAGGAGAACAAGTTCTTTCCCAGGTTGGTCACATGAACATACTCCACTTTAAAATAAATGTTTGTCACGACTTCAGTGACCAGCGCCCTGAGTTGATGACAGAAGTGTGTTGGGCAAGTACTGTTGGAGTCAGGCTGTCTAGGTTACAAGCCCTGCCCTGCCTGCTGATACCTGCAGAATGGTAAACCTGTAAAGCACCCAACATAGTGCCTGACCTTTAATGCCAGCTGTTATCCTCAGTCTTAAATCTATTAAGAGTAAATGCAAATACCTTGGAGGTGAGGACTAGGATATTTCAGTGTTCTTCTGGCTCATAACGTAGACTCAATAAATGGCTTGTGAAGGGAATTCAAGCCAAGAATTAAAGCTCCATTTTAAATTCAATATTTTAGAGAGCCTAGCCTGTGCCAAGTCCTTTGTTAAGTCCTGGGGATAGAAATGTATTCGAAACAGTCTCACCAGGAAGACAGGTTGTGATGAGGACTTGGTTATCCTATCATTCAGGATACAGAGATAAGCCATCCTCCATTTGAAAATTAGGTATACATGGCCATGCACTGAGATGATATTAATTCTTGGACAAAGGTGTTTTTTTTTTTTTCAGTTGACTTCTAGAAATATTGCTTCTTTACCTTGACCTCAGCTGTCTTGATTCAAAGATCACCCCAATACAAGTCCACAATTGGAGGGTCCCCAAAAGAAATAATCTTGCTTATTTCTATGCKGTCTGATAATAGACTTTGGCCCTCCTACACCTGTAAGAAAGAGGAAAACAAATTCTGTCATCCAGAAACTGACTTGACTTAACTAGACCTTTGCATTCTTCTATTGAATGTGGTTTCACAAAACATGATATCACACAAGGCCAATCTCTAATTGATGGAGTGAGATTTAAAAAAAAAAAAACAAGACTCAGTAATGTTGTCTAAGCACTGACACAAAGAAAGTCACTATGCCAACCACAAGAACCCCCAACAAGCCCCACCCTGGAAATATGAATGCTGCTACTTTACCTATGATTATTTGTTTGTTTTTACCAGTTTCAGTCTTTCCGCCTGTAGATGAGATTTATTGAGATTATCCATGGAATTATCCTTGCTTCCTGATGATATCCAATACAGAAAAAATTTAAGTTTTCCTTAAATCCCAACCAAAAATCACCTAAAAGGAATTTAAATTCTATCAATTCTTTCCTAACATCCTCCTACGAAGATACTTCATGGATCCTCATGTTGTGTTTTGTTTTGTCTTGTTTTAACTGCAGTGAGCAGCAATAAACCCAATTTGACAACTACAAATGTGTTCCCTGTGTTCTCGGYTGGAGGGCATTGACCCCTGTCACTAACATGCTCCAAGGTTACAGAGTATGTATCTATGCATTGTTTCAACAAACACTATTCAGGATCTCCTTTGTGCCAGCTACTTCTTTACATGCTTCTAGTACATGTGGCCATGAACTAGAAGGAGAGGAAAAAATATAGTGGGAGGAGACAGATCAAAATAAAATAAAATAAGATCAATTCAGATTCTATAAGTGCCATAGGAAAAAATGAAGCATGTCACTGGAMTAGGAGACCAGGAGTAGGAGAGAAATCTTGTGCTATTTTATATGGGGTAGCCAAGTAAGGGTATTTAACTGAGATATGATGGATGACAAAATATCAGACATGTGACAACTCAAGGAAAGAGCATTCCAGGCAAAGAGAATAGCTAGTGCAAGAGCCCTGAGGCAGGAGCATGCTGGGTATGTTTTTTAAACAGGAAAAAGGCCAGGAGGCTGGGCCAGAGCAGAGGTGGGGGTGGRGAGCCAAGAGGTAGGTCAGATCACTCCAGGTGTGACTGGGCCTGGTAAGGAGTTAAAATGTATACAGAGGGCAGTGCAAGGTCATTTGATGAGTATGAAAAGTTCCCAATAAGATGCAAATATACAAAAAATAATGTGGCGTGGGGACTGGGGTTATGGATCAGTGGTAGAGCACTTGCCTGGCTCATGTGAGGCACAACGTTTGATCTTCAGTATGAAATAAAAATAACTAAATAAAAATTTAAAGGTACTGTGTCCATTTACAACTAAACATTTAAGAAAAATAATGTGGAGTGAAGAGTAAATCTAGGGTCACCTTTTTTCCTGTTTAGGGATTTATTTTTGTTTTGTCTTATTTTATGGATGAAGACTCATTGCATTCAGATATTTCTAAAAATAGTCAAAAGAAAATCATGACTGCGTGCCCCGCTTCCTGATGGGTCGATGTCAGCTTCTCTCTGTGACGGTGAAACCACAGTACCTTGCTGTCTTGATCTGGTGTGAAGAAGAGTCTGGAGGCGCATGACTGAAATGGATCTGATGGGAAAGACAAGGCCAGAGCAGAACAGGGAGCCAAGTAAGCCTACGTGTTCCTTCCCATAGAGGGCTCCCGACAAAATGTTTGGCAGCCTGGTTTTATTTTTATTTTTCCCTGTTGACATGCGACAAGATGGCTACAATACTCTGCATCTAAAAGGCTTTTCTCCACTCTGTGCCTTTGAAAGCTGGGAGGGACCCAAGTACACCCCCCCCCCTTTCCATTGGCCAGGATGAGCCCCATGACATACAGTCAGAAGGTCGATAGCAACCTAAGTGTGTCTCAGTGTCTATGTCATGCACTTCCCTCCCCTGTGGTCAGGACTTGTCTCACTCCATCACCAGAACAAGGACGAGTACAGGAGAGAGAGCAGGAGAGGCTACGTTGGCATTACTTTTATCACAGTGTATTATCATATTGTCCTACTTTGTTATCACTTATTGTTGTTGATCTCCTACTATGCCTAAGTTATAAATGAAAGCTCCATCACCGGTATGTATGTACAGGGAAAAAAAAAACAGCATAAAAAAGGGCTTGTGGTCTCAGGCATCCACTGGAGGTCTCAGAATGTACACGTGCAGATAAAGGGAGACGGCTGTCGTTGATTTTGAGTTTCCATAAYATCTTTGTCCTTTATTTTGTACATATCCGGCAGGAGACTTGGGTACAAACAACAAACACTGACTGGCTTCGTCAGCAGRAGGAGAACTCACTGTGAGGCTGTCGGGCCATCCACAGACCTGACAGAAGGCCGGGAGGCCAGGCGTGGGACACAGTCCAGGAGCAAAAGAGGCTGGAGGAGAGGAACAATGCAGCCAGCCACTCGGTGCCTGTCCCTAGTGCCACTCTGCTGTCACCCATCCCAGCTGCTGGCACGGACCCAACCCCATCTCCACTTAACCTTGTGCCGCTCTTATGGGCTTCTCAGAATCCCAGGAGGGAAAGTACAAGGTCAAGTGCTCTGTGGGGTCAGGGAGAARGAGAAGCTTTCCTCCTTTAATGGAGATGGGCCCAGGGTGGGGGACGCTGTGCCTGCCACCGAGACTTAAATAGCAGGCGAGGCCCCAGAACTTGAAAGAGCATTTTCTGAGTGGCTGAAACAGCAGTGGACAGTACAATATGGACAGCACCGACTCCAAWGCTGTCATTTGAAAAAAAGCAAAGAGGCCAACAGGCCTGCAGAGGTCTGGTCACAGACCGGGAGTTAGCCCCGGGCTTTTCACTGCTTGTCCACCGAGACTGCGTGGACCGAGAGCCAGGAAAGGGAGAGCAGACCTTGGGGGCTCCAAGGCAGTCAGCCCTCCCTTTCCCATTCCAGGCACTCTGTAGTAGCTTTYCAGCATGTAGATTTGATCAAAATACTTCCTCCCATTTTCCTTAGAATCTTCTATGGCTTCCCATTGCTCTTAAGATAAAGATAGTCCTTAATGGCACCTATGAGGTTTTGCCTGGTCCAACCTCTATCCACCTCTCCTACCGCCATCCTCCTTCCTGTGCCTTTTTGGCTCCTTGAGAGCTTTGTGCTCTCCAACACTGGGCCTTTGCACAAGCTGTTCCCCTTCCCCAAATGCCCTTCCCTCTCCTCTGTGCCTGGTTTTGCTCAGGGTTGTTTCTCTAGCACCTCACTCAATGTTTGCACCAAAGCACAGTCTCTGGAATATTTGGGAGCCTCTATCCATGCCACCAGGCAGTTCATCTTCTAGAGAAGGAGACAGGCAACATAATAATAACAAATACAAATAGWTGCCCCAAAATCACAAGGTAGGGTATGTGCAATGAAGATGTTTAGCCATATATCAGGCTAAAATTAAAGACACAAACAGATTGGCTTATTTCACTCAACACAATAGTCTCCAGATTCATCCATTTACTGGCAAAGGTTATAAAGTCTTTTTATGGCTGAGTAATATTCCATTGTGTACATATACGGTATTTTCATTATCTGTTCATGTGTCAAATAAGCCAATCCCTACAAACCAAAAGCTGAACGTTCTCTCTGATATGTGGATGCTAACACACAATAAGAGAGGTGTTGGGAGAATAGAAGTTCATTGGG